CATGTTTGTGTAATATTATTACATCTTTCTAATATTGAACATAAAATACCAGGTGCACAATAACTAATATTATTTATTGTTCGATAATCAAAACAAGGTGTTGATGATGAACGACAATTATCATTATTACTATTAGTTAAGTTTACATTACATTGTTGTAAAGAACAACTTGATGCTGGATTCGAAGCTGAATGAGATGACGAAGATAATGTAAACTGAATCGAAACATTATTTTCAGTACAATAATAATTAGGTAATTGTGTAGTTTGTCCTATAGAATTTATTTATATTATGACAGAGTGAAATGAAAAAAGATAATCTAACAAACCTTTTACCGATGAAAGAAATATGATGAAAAGCAAGGCAATGATCGATCGCATTATTGTTTGTGTGATGAATGAAAAAAAAGTATGCGCAGTAATAGGTGATTTTTCTTTACTGTTTTTTCATTACTGCCAACATTACTCTTTTCGTTGACAGAACATAAAACTATTTCTCTCAATAGGTGTTCGTGCCCTTGAAATTAAAATTACAGTCCTTTTTTTTATTGGCTTATCCATTTAAGTGTATAAAAATGTTTATTTTATAAACGTCCGTTATAGAAAAATGTTTTCTATATCTATCATTTTCAATACAGACTCTTCACTTCTGTTTTTTCGTTTGATATATAGACTACGTGATCAGTTATTTGAAGTTGTTTGATTGACAAAGGTAAAAGAAAATATCACATGAATATATTCATATTTACTTAATTATTTCTCTATAGAAATGCATTCATTACACACAATTCTTCGAAGGTAAATAAGAGATTTAATTACTATTTTCATTACTTTATGTTCTTATTTTTCATGTGACTGTTATTTTTTAAAAAGCATTTCTCTTACCCAAAGTAAAAAATATATTGAATAAAATGATTAAATATGAAATTAATTTAGCTACTGTTAATAATTGATGGTTCTAAAAAAGGAATTTATCTCTTGCTTTTTTTAGGAAACAGCAGAATACTTGTTTAAAAGAAAACAATAATTCAATAGACTCATTTATAGTTAATGAAGTTAGAGTTTATGTTATGAGAACAGAACAAGAAATGATCTTCTGATGATGAACATTCGTTTGTTATGAGTTTATTTTTGTAATTGTGTAAAGTATTATCACAAATATTGAAAAATGAATATGATGAAAACATATGTAACTAAAAACTAAAAAAGTCAATATCAAAAACAAAGAAATATACATAAATGATTTACTAAAAAAGAGAGATAATTATTTGTTGTAAACGCTGTTTAAAATGTTTTTATCATATAAATAAGTGATGAATAGAATTTCTGATCTTGATCATTTACTAATTTCTATATAAAATTTTGCTCATAGAAATTATGACAATATCAAACAAATAGTATCTACAATAATATTGTGAGCGATTCTTATTTAGATAAGAACATAAAATCTAGTAAAATCATGCAAACGCGAGTCTTATTATTTTTTAATATTATATATATTCATATAATATGTATAGTAAACGAAGAAGAGTTGATCATGTTTCTTTCTTATTAATAAGAGAAATATTTGATCTTTTGATAATTAAATTGATTTCATCTTATGATGAAAGACTGACTATCTGCTATAGTCGAAATCCGTTCTATGCAGTATTAAATATAATTGATTTCTTTATTTGATAGATAGCGTCCTCTATGAATCGAGTTATTATTAGTGAAATATTTTAACCATTCATCTATATAATACTTTTTTTTGAAACTGATTTTTAAGAAATCTTTCGAAAGTTTATGATTCGGGCTTTGCCAAAAAAAAATTCATTATTGAAAATGTCGTCTAGTGCACTTAATTTTGAAGTAACTCATACATGTAATACAACAAAAGCTCGTGTTGGTCGTTTAACATTTGGTCGAAATCATACATCGCGTGGTCCGATCGATACACCTGTTTTTATGCCTGTCGGTACACAAGGAACTTTGAAAGGTTTAACACCTGAACAATTACATCAATTAAATTGTCGTATTATTCTTGGAAATACTTATCACTTAGGACATCGACCAGTAATTTATAATTCATTTTTTTTTGTATTTTACTTTCATATTTTTTTTTCAAGGGTCCTGATTTACTTAAAGAAATGGGTGGTCTTCATTCATTTATGCATTGGGATGGTGGACTTTTAACAGTAAATTTTCCTTTTGAATTTATTTTAATGTTTCATACGAATACAATAGGATTCAGGAGGATTTCAAATGGTATCTCTTCTTAAATTATCACAAGTAACTGAAGATGGTGTCAAATTTCAATCTCCACATGATCAAAGTGAAATGTTATTAACACCAGAAAAATCCATTGAAATTCAAAATGTTATCGGTAAGGATCTATCATCATATAATTCATCAAAGAAACTTCAGATAACAACTCTATCTTATTAGGAGAAGTATTTTTTGTAAGTTTTATATTAAGTTTATTGAGATATGAAAATATGACGAGTTTTTATACTAGAACGATCGCTGATTAATAGATAAATATCTAGAATTAATGTTAATAACAACGAGTCTCGCGCAATATAGATATTATCGATTAATAGTTGCTGTGTATTCTTACGAACTAAAAGATGAAAACTGCTATATCACACAAGATTGCTACAGTTTTATTTTGCCCATTAGAATTTATTGAAAAAGTACTCACTTTCTATTCGTGGGTGCGGGTGTAAGTATCTCTTCTCTTAACCTCAACCACACTCATACTATTATTCCTAAGTACTTAAAACCATCTATAAAATAGAACAGCTTGTAATATAATGTGTAAATAAAGTATTTTCTCTGGTACTCACTGTTATGTATAACATCCGAATTTATTAATCTAATCATGTAGCTTTTAAATTCAGATTCCAATAAACATAATCTATAGGATTTTAGAAAGTTTTTCTTATACTTATGCTATTGTATCCTTCTGAATAACAAGATTTTTCTACAATCTGATACCGTAATTTGATTTATTATCTCTAAAATAACAGTTGTTACCTAATGGATTTTTTTGCAAGGAAAAAAAATATACTTAATAAAACATGAATTGAAAAGAGTATCGAATGACACGGAGTATAAAACTTGTACCCACCACTTCCTCTTTTCCGCACCGACGTGATATATATCTTACTAACTATTCGTCGCTGACATCATTAGTTAGTGTAATATAACAGTGATTGCGCTAATAGGACATTTTTATTAATTGATAAATTTAACTGAATATGAAAGAATATAATAACAAATAAGACATCGTTTTGTTCTCCCACCGGAATATTGTTCCTAACTATCGAATAAAATAGTAATGTTATAACGTAAAAACAACTGTATGAATAATAGTATTATTAATTTTTAAAATTTCAACCCATTCTTTTTTCTTATTTGGTTCAACAAATGGATAAATATCTTTTAAACGATTGCATTGAACTGTTACTGGTTTTTGATAACTTTCAGTTCTATGATTCCAAAAATTAGTTTTACATTCAACGAAAGGATCAAACTTAATTAAACGTTTCGGTTTTCTTAGTGCTGGCACCCATAAGTATCCAAGTGGTCTTAAAATTAATGGAAAAATATATTTTGTTTGAAATGGTTTATCTGGATTGAGTAGAGTCCATAAATGAGTTTGATTTTGTTCATAAAAGAAAATATCAACAAATGGAAAATGCCATTTATCTTTTCCAGCAATTTGAGTAATATTATAATATAATTTATCATATTCATATTCCGGTAATTCACCATGATGTAAAGCGAATCCAATTAATGTTTTATCTATTTTTTTAAATTCATTATTTAAAATTTTTCGTTTATCATCGGGTACCATTATATCAAGATCATCATCCCAAGGTATAATATCATGATGTCTTAAAGAACCTAATAATGTTCCATCACTTATAAAATAAGTAATTTTATGTTCACGACATATTCGATCAATTATCATTAATAAATGCATCATTAATGAATGTTCACATTGAGTTATTACACGAGGAATAATAGATGATGATTTCCAATGTGAATAATGATAGTAAGGAAAACGAAAAGTTTTTGTATCATTAAGTGCAGGTGGAAAAATAACCGGTGATTGAGGATAATATCGTTCACTATCAATACGTTGCGCCAAGTCTAAACATAATAAAGAAGTATCATCGACAGCAGTTTTTTCATCTTCTATATCGGATATATTATTCGAGGCAATTATTGATTTAATTGGCCGTGTTGATGTTGGACATAAGGGACATTTTATATGTCGAATAGATTGATAGCTTATTAATATAATAACCGATGTAAGAACGAATGGAATTACGATAGTTTTGGGTAGTCTTTCTAACCGATGATACATATTTTTTTGATTTTTAACTTATCATAGTATGTGGCAGATGCTATTATCATTGATTTTTTTTCTGCTGTTTTCTCGTATAATAAAAAACAGATGAAATGAAAAGAAAGTTTAATAATGATTATTACTAAAGTAAAACTAAATAATTTATAGAAATTAATAAAATATTTTTTTTTTTTTTATAAAGGCGCTGATATAATAATGCAATTAGATGATGTTGTATCAAGTACACTAACTGGTCCGAGAGTTGAAGAAGCTATGTGGAGGTTTGTAATTGAAAATATATTTCCTATCTATTATTTATTAAATTAGATCATTACGATGGCTTGATCGATGTATAGCAGCACATTCACGTCCAGATGAACAAAGTCTTTTTCCAATTATTCAAGGTGGTCTTGATGAAAAATTACGAGAACAAAGTGCTAAAGGTAAAATCCGTTTTTTTTATTGAATTCGTTAATTATAAATTAGTTTATTTCTTTAGAAATAATCAAACGTAATTGTCCTGGTTATGCAGTTGGCGGATTAAGTGGTGGTGAAGATAAAGATCATTTCTGGCGTATGGTGACTCTTTCAACAGAATATTTACCAAAAAATAAACCAAGATATTTAATGGGTGTTGGGTTTGTTGTTAATTGAATTGCAAAAACTAATTTTTTTTTTAAAAATTCATAGATTTGCAATTGATCTTGTTATTTGTTCAGCACTTGGTTGTGATATGTTTGATTGTGTATTTCCAACTCGAACAGCTGTATGAATAGATTTTTTTTATAATTTAACCTAAATTTGTTTTGTTTTCGATAGCGTTTTGGATGTGCATTAGTTGATAGTGGACAATTGAATTTAAATAAACAAATTTATGAAAAAGATCATCGTTTAATTGATGAAAAATGTATATGTTCAACTTGTCAATCTGGTTATACACGATCATATCTTAATACAATTGTTACAAAAGAAACAACTGCATGTCATTTACTTACAATTCATAATGTTGCATATCAGGTTAAAAAAAACGTTCTTTTGATAAAATATTGTTTTTACTCGTTAATGTAAATTTAGATGAGATTAATGTCTCGAATTCGACAAGCAATAAGTGAACAACGTTTTCCAGAATTTATCAAAGAATTTGTTTCAATTTATTATCAAGATAAAGATATTCCAATATGGATTACAAATTCATTAAAATCAGTTAATATTGAATTATAAAAAATTTTGTTTTTTTGTTATTGTTATATTGACAATAAAAGTTTAAGTTAACACGTTGTAGTATCAAAAGGAAAATATTCATTTATATTTTTTCTATTATACTAAAGATTAAATACATAAATTGGGATGAAAAGTAGTGACTTTTTTCATCATATTTGATTGAAATGAACTTTAAACGAACGATATTAAATTCGCTAACGTTTCTGGAGCTAAGTCTTAAGTAATTGATAAATATTTGCAAGACACATCAAAACAATGCATATATATTTATTTATTAAGTACAAAAAGTCAGGTACATCAGTTGGTAATTTCTACACATACAGTTTCAATATAAATGTCAGTATTCTTTTGATTCAATGATATTTATCTAAATACGTGTAGATAAAAACAAATCATGAAGAAAGAAAATTTTTACCTGTATGCATTTGTTTATTTGCAAAAGTAATATCCGAGTTTGATCGTTTACACCAATAAAAACGTGTATATAAAGTAAATCACTCACACATATCCAGTTTTTCATTGATAAAAAATATTTGATTCTCTTCCGTTTTTATTACTTATTATATCGAGTAGGATTGAATAACTGATGGGAACGAAAATATCAAAACAACATCATCACCATCAAACTAGACGGCATAATCGAATAGCTCTTGCACGTGATAATATTCTTCGTATTGCTAATCAAGAAATTCAAAATTTCAATGAGATTTTCTCTACGACAACTGTTGAAATACCCTTAGAAGAAGAAACATCAGATAATAATTTAGCAAGAAAAAAACATCATCATGATCCGATTATTCAAAAAGAAGCACTTGGTATGAGAAAAAGTCGATCAACTGGAAATTTATCTAGTACGACGCCTGTTTTTACAGATCAAAAAAAACGAACACATAGAAATAAATCATCATCATCTCAAAATGCAAGCACGGTTCATTCAGAATTGACAACAAGTTTAAATCAATTATCTTCTTCAAAATTGAAAAGAAAGAAAATTCTACATAATTCTAAACTTGCTTTCATTGATTCCAAAGATTTAAAAGTAAGTAATTTACAGATCAAAATTCCAAACTTTATTAAGTTCATATTGACAAAAGGTAATTAATATACATTTTTATTTTCTCTATAGTATGTTGGTGAAATTGGTAAAGGTAATTTTGGTACTGTGCACCATGCCTTATACAAAGGTACACATGATGTTGCATTAAAAACATTAAGTATTCAAGATGAAAATCCTAATAAATGTTCTATCTATGGTAATGCTGACAATATGAACGTAATACTTCAAGAAGCAACTATAATGACACGTTTAAGACATGCAAATCTTTTACGTATAATTGGTTTAACATTTTCTGAAGAAAGTCAACAATTAAGTTTAGTAACAGATTTTATGAGAAATGGTTCATTATTAGATTATCTTAAAAGACATCGTGATATATTTTTAAAATCAAATTCTTGTTCTATATCAAAAAAATTAAATTATTTTGCAAGACAAATATATGAAGCAATGTTATATTTAGAAGAACGACATATTATTCATCGAGATTTAGCAGCAAGAAATTGTTTAATTGATGACGATGATATACTTAAAGTTGCTGATTTTGGTTTAACCAAGTAAATTACTTTTTTTTATAAATATATATAAAATTAAAATGAAATCTTTTAGATTAACTGAATGTGGTTCATATAAAGGTACACATCGTACGATATGTGCACCACGTTGGACAGCACCTGAAGCGTTATTTTCATCGGAATATTCTTCTCGTTCAGATGTTTGGAGTTATGTAAGAAGAATTTTATTCAAAATAAATATCATTTTATATTTTTTTTTATACAATAGGGTATAACTCTTTGGGAAATTTATTCATTAGGTGACCGACCATTTCGTAATATGACTAATTATGCTTTAAAAACTGTTTTAAAAAATCCATTGGAAAAACTTAGTCAATATCTTCCAAAGCCACGTCGTCTTGGTTCAGATGAAATATATACACATATTATTCTTCCTTGTTTAACAAATAGTGTTACAATGCGACCACGTTTTTGTGATTTAAAACAACGTATTTTAGATATTCTTGTGAACGATATATAATCATTAGATTTTAAGAGGATATTTCATATGAAAGATTCATTTATTTGTTTATAATAAAGATATAGATGATTTACGCAGAAGTTTTAGATTAGATTATTTGATGTATATCTTTAATCGAACATATAAACAGTATGTCATGTTTTATAAGTAATAAAAAGTTCTTGGTATGATTGTAAGAAAATAAAATACATATGATCATATTATTTTTACTTTCTTCTCTAATATTCATATAAAGTAAAATAGAAAAAAAAATATATGAATGACTCATCTATCGAGATAAGATCAAATATTTATTTAAATATATAAACGATTATTAATTCAATTTTACAGAGAATCTTTTTCTTTATTATGATAATTAATGAAACAAAAGTTGAATAATCATTTTTGATACAAATCGGTCACAATTTAATATTATACGGACACGTGCATTAATCTAATAACACTTGTTTTATTTATTTTCGACATGTTACCAAGTTCAATCAAACTATGTATAAGAGATGAGTTTGGTTTCTTCATATAATGATCGATGATATACATTTATTGTTATTGTTATTGTATAGTTTAATTTTATTAATAATTTTAAATCTTTCTTTTGTATTGATGTTGTATTATTCTCAATACTTATTTATATTTACTCTGTTTCTATGTTCTAAACATGAAAACTCATCTCATTACTCTGTATAACACAAATATTGACGTTATTTAGCATATTTAATTTTTATTATTAATTATATATTTATATCAAGTAGATAGAGTACAATTGAACTGAGCATAATATAAATCTAAGATTATTTTCGCTAGGCAAATGTCTAATATATATATATAGTATTGATGAAGTTCAAGATCAATGCCAACAGATTATCGAACATATAGAATACTGTCATAAACGGTTGACTATTTATTTATATGTACTATTTGAATAAAAACATAAAGATATGTTTATATTTCTCATTTTATTTTATAAAAACATAAAGAAAAAAAGGAAAAGAATTTATACAAAATATTCATTTCAAATATTCAACATTTTTAATTGATATAATGTTGATGAATAGAAGCAGGAATACCAGTTATTGGTTGATAATAATTATTACCGATTGGAACAAAATCAACTTCACGTTCAACATTAACACGTCCTGTATATGGATTTCGATAAAGTTCAACATCTTGTGTATAAATTCCATAACCATAATTACCATAAGTAGTAGTTTGATAATCTCTGTTCCAACTATTCATTGGACTAATAGCGGCAATGGGTTGAGCAAACATTTTGTTAATAATAGTAAAGTATAAAATAAATAATAAGTTTGTATTTGTATATGAATGTATGAAAATGAGAGAGAAGTGTATGAGTATTTATACTATGATAATACACCTGCATAATAATATGAATAAGTACGTCATCGTTGTACGTCATCAGTGATGTCATAGTTATATTGTACTCATCCCATCAATGATAAAAATAAATGTTGTTAAGTGCGATTGAGTCGACGAAGAATATTCGTGAATATATTCTAAAATTGTTTTATTTTTATTTTGAAAGAGAAATAACAAATTAAAAGTGAAACAAAAAAACAAAATTTGTTTGTATGTTTAAAGATAGTTTAAGATTTTTCAAAAACGTATTTGCATAAATAAAAGCAATTATTAGTTAAATGTAAAACTATCGAACATCTTAAAAATTGGCTCCGAAAAATATAATAGAATCAATCTTAAAATATTTCATAAAATGATCAAATTTGTGATACAAAATATTTAATTTTAGCTTTATGAAATTACTTTCATTCTACGAATAACAAATCACAGAATTACGATTGAATATTTTCAAATGAAATTATACAAGATGCAATTTGTTTCACAACTTCATGAACAAGATTCATTTGAACTTATGTGATTCTATTTTATTGACTAAAGTCATTTGTCATTGTGTAGCCCTTACATAACGATTTAAATGAATCCAAAATAAAAATTTATCATGAGACAAAATGTTAGAAATCATTCCAAGTGTGTTGAAACTATTTTCTAAGTAAGTCGAATCACTTTGAAGATATATTAATAATTAAGTTTTAATCAATATACAGTTGAAACAACATAAGACTTATCAAAACAGAGTATCAGAATAAATCTAATTAAAATAAAACAATTTCAGAGTATATTCACGAATATTCTTCGTCGACTCAATCGCACTTAACAACATTTATTTTTATCATTGATGGGATGAGTACAATATAACTATGACATCACTGATGACGTACAACGATGACGTACTTATTCATATTATTATACAGGTGTATTATCATATAGTATAAATACTCATACACTTCTCTCTCATTTTCATACATTCATATACAAATACAAACTTATTATTTATTTTACACTTTACCATTATCAATAAAATGTTTGCTCAACCAATTGCCGCTATTAGTCCAATGAATAGTTGGAACAGAGATTATCAAACTATTACTTATGGTAATTATGGTTATGGAATTTATACACAAGATGTTGAACTTTATCGAAATCCATATACAGGACGTGTTAATGTTGAACGTGAAGTTGATTTTGTTCCAATCGGTAATAATTATTATCAACCAATAACTGGTATTCCTGCTTCTATTCATCAACATTATATCAATTAAAAATGTTGCATATTTGAAATGAATATTATGTAAATTCTTTTCTTTTTTTTCTTTGTTTGTTTTTGTAAAATAAAATGAATTTAATATAACGAAAATATTGAATCAACACAAACACACTTGAAATTCCAGTAGATGACTATATGTGAGATGTTAGTTTATTCCATAATCAAGCAGTAATTCATATAAAAAGAATGATGACACATTACACACACTAAATACACAGAGCAGTACAATATATATCTATTATTGTCAATGCCTTCTCTCATGCATACATGCATTTCAACACATCCTCTCTAACTTAGAACAACAAAAAATGGACGAGGAGCAAATAGACAAGTGAGAGGAGTGTGAATGGAAACAAAAAAACACAAGAGAGAAAAGAATGTATCATGTGCAGAACATCAGACACTATACATACTAAAAGAAAATGCATTTCATGATTTTTTTTAAAGATAAGAAAAAAATATTTTAGTTTATAACTATAGAGTTGTTCGGCTCTCATTCGATTATTTCACAACGTCTATATAAGAGACATAACGAAAAGTAATACAAGAAGAATATTCTTTACTTAATAATTCATACTATTGTATCTCACAATGGCAAAACTTTCGAGTTCAAGCTTTATATTTTTATTCTATGTGCTACTTTTAGTGTAAGTATTAATTATCAAGTTCTACATGTTATATACTTAATTTTTTTATCTTCTTCAACGATAGAAACACATCAGAACAACAACTGCTAAGTAATTAATAATAATAGCTATTATTTTTCTTTATTTTCTTATTATTTATTTCTTAGTTAACTCTGCAATAGCAACATGTAATTTTACTGCATGTAATTCTCAACGATTACCATGTTCATCGAATCCTGACTGCGATTGTTTTTCACTAACATCCAGTCCGAATACAGGAATATGTGCTTCAACTATTTTCTCCTGTGCAAGTTTTGTACGATGTAATATGAATAATATAACTTGTTCAATTGAGAGTACAATCTGTGTGAATAGTACACGATGTGGTCAACCAATATGTTATCCATTACCTATGGCAAACAAACAAATTTGTCCACCGAAGACTGTTACAAGTAGAGAAGATTTTTAATAATTATTTTAGTTTTATTTATTTTTTTTCTTAAAACAGCTACAACATTACGAACAACAACTACAAGTAAGGTATTTTGTCTTGCAAATTTAAAAACGATTAGAACAAAAGGAATTAGTTGACCAAGAATAAATTATTTCTATATTTTAATAGTACGTACAACCAGCACAACTAAATCCACAACAAAGAGTAAGCGTGATTTCATTATATTTTCTCTTTAAAATGTGTTTCTTTTGTGGCTAACTTATCTTTGTTAATTCAGTCACAACAACAACAACTCAAAGGACTACAACTACCACTAAAAAGTCGACAACAGTAACTACTAAAAAGCCTACAACTACCACTAAAATATCGACAACAACATCAACATCAACAGGTAAAATATGCAGTATCGTTGCCACCGACTCTGGCTCATAGCTTTTTTTCTTTTGCTTTTCAGTTCATTTCATCAATACAACTAATCAATCTAGTACAGCTGCTGGTAAGTAATCAACAAATGATTTATCTGAACCAGCTTTATAGAAATTTGAAATTAAATTTTATCTGTGGTTTTTTTCCAATTGAAATTTTTACCAACAGAAATAAAATAGAGTACTACTTTTAGAAGGAATTCTTATTCATATCTATCCCATTCTTCTAAATTTATAGTGAGTTCTATTTCGTGTGAAAATGAATCCCATACAGTGAGACTTATTACATGCATAATAAATTTATATCGATACGAGTACTAGCTCGTAAATTTTTCAAATAGTTTCCTCTATAAACCATCTTAAGAGTGGGTGGTGATAAATACTCTTTTGACTACACCTACACCCACATCCACCCATCTCATTTATGTTGTCTTGATTGATGAGATGATCGAGTGAACTATACAATTAGACATTAAATACTATCTTTATCTTTAAATTTATCTTCTATCTCATGTTTGGAATATTTGTAAAGTTTTGTTTTTTCTATAATAGTGTTCATTACATAAGAAGATATAGATAGGAATTGATCAAAAATTATTGTTATGCTAATAAATTTAAATAGAACATTTGATAAGATATAAAACATCACTGAGAACAGAGTTGAGAATAACTAAGTAATAGAATTTGTGTGAACTAATAAACAACTAACAATGATTTGATAACGAATTATCAGAAACTTCGAGGTTAATTACTCATTTTCTCATTAGTTTATGTTTCATATCAGTTTCAGTGATGAATGCTATATAGTTTTTTTATCACTTATAGAGATGATTGAAAAAACAAATGTTGTGAATAATTTATTACATTAGTTATCGTATTCAGAGAACTATAAAAGAGTTGATGAAATGTTCATGTTTCTAATTCTATTGAATAACTTTCGAGCAAAGCTTGTAAACTTCGTCGAGAATCGAAAAACACATCAGTGAGTGTAATCAGCAGTGATTAATTCGAGACAAGCATCTTTTATATATTTGATTGAGATAAAAGATGAAGTAGTAAATATAGAAAACTGAAGATGTCATAATGGTACGTGAGGAGGATTTTTGTAATACACTTGACTTCTATTCTTAGTCTACATACGTTTGAGGTGATATAAAACAAACATATCTAAGATTGTCATTTTTAAAATAATGAAAAATTCTATGCGCAAGAGTAGTGAATGTTCAGTGTTTGACGATATGATATTGTATTGTCTGAATATATAAAAATGTAACTTCTAGGATGGTTTTTTACTGCCCATATGAGTGGCGGACGACGGAGCCACACAGCATCTGTATTATCAAATGGAAAAGTATTAGTTACTGGTGGTGCACCCCTTGGCTATGGATCTATAAACAGTGCTGAGCTGTATGATCCATCAACAAGTACTTGGACAACTACTAGTAATATGATTACTGCACGAGAATCTCACACAACATCTGTATTATCAAACGGAAAAGTATTAGTCACTGGTGGATACAATGATAATTTTGGTGTTTTAAATGATGCTGAATTGTATGATCCATCGACAGGTGCTTGGGCAACTACTGGTAACATGACTAATGCACGATCTTGGCATACCGCATCTGTATTATCAAATGGAAAAGTATTAGTTACTGGTGGATGGAATATTCTTTTTTATTTAAATAGTGCTGAATTGTATGATCCATCTACAGGTATCTGGACAACTACTAGTAACATGATTAATGCACGATCTTATCACACAGCATCTGTATTATCAAATGGACTAGTATTAGTTACTGGCGGGTGGAATGGGAATATTGCTATAAATAGTGCTGAGCTGTATGATCCATCAACAGGTACTTGGACAACTACAGATAGCATGACTGATACACGATTAGTTCACACAGCATCTATATTATCGAATGGAAAAGTATTAGTTACTGGTGGATACTTTAGTGCCAATAGTTTAAATAGTGCTGAATTATATGATCCATCAACAGGTGCTTGGGCAACTACTGGTAACATGACCAATGCACGATCTTGGCACACAGCATCTGTATTATCATATGGACTAGTATTAGTTACTGGTGGGTGCAATGGGAATATTGCTATAAATAGTGCTGAGCTGTATGATCCATCAACAGGTACTTGGAAAACTACAGGTAGCATGACTGATACACGATGCCGTCACACAGCATCTGTATTATCAAATGGAAAAGTATTAGTTACTGGTGGGGGGAGTAATAGTGGTTTGTTAAATAGTGCTGAATTATATTAATTATTTCAAACAAATTAACTTTCACTCATCTTATTCTTTTTTTTGAAAGTAGTCCAAATTCCAAACAAAACTTTAGTTAGAACAGCCGTCATCATATGACGGTCGCAAACTGTTTCCTTCCATATTTTTACTGGATTATCACACACTTTAATATTCCATTCCAAATAAAAAAAATATCTTTTTTTTTGCTCTTATAGATTAATTTATTATGATTATCAAAACTTTTGTCTAGAAGGAAAATCGATAATATTTATACCGATAGGAGATCTAAGTTGTCTCTATTTATAATAAAAATTTCAAAAAACTTCTTGATTGAATGTTAATTAATATATTCGTCATGATTACAGAGTCAATGGCGAATGTAACTAGAGTAAAAAAAGCATTCTATATGTGTATTAACATTTCAGAAAAATAGTTTCATCGTATATGACACTTCATTATGTGATGTGTTGACATAAATAAATGAAGATAAGAACGATGATGATGTTAAAATTCTGTTCTACTTTGTCATTCTTATCATATGATGACACACTCAGATTCTTTTTAAAAAAATTCATCATTCATTATAAAAATGAAATCAATTCTAATATGTATTACAATTCTTTGTATTCTTATTAAAACAAATGAAGCAACTGAACTATGTCCATCATCACAAATACGTTGTATGGATGAAAATCGATTAAATTGTAATAATTCATTATTATCTTCAACAGATTTTCAATGTTGTGATGGTCTTCAATGTGTTTCAGCAGTCATTCCTAGAACTGATACACAAGAACAATTTAATACAACAATGTGCGTTCCTTCTTCATCCAAACAATATAATACTAAAATAAATATTCCACC